CAAACAAATGTGAGCTTTCCGCTCCGTGAATATGCGTAWAATGTACATTAATACAAACAAATTGCAACAACTCGGTACAACAACAATAGCATAGTAAAGCAAAAGCTGTATAAAAGCAAAGTGGCAATAATAAAATTTCGCATTATTTCATTAAAAAGTTTCTTGCGTATTTTTCCCCCACTAAACATTCGTTAGGAAAGTCATTGCAGTTATATAATATTCACACGTACATATATACACAATACATAATAGAAATGTTTGCAAATATTTTGTATAAAAATAAACTTCGTTGTAAGCGCCGTCGAATGCTAAGTGCTGCGAGCTCACTGACTGATAATGTGGAGTTACAAATCTCAAGCTATCGGAACAACACTGTTAAATAAAAATTTTCTAAACTTACTTTTATATACAACTATAAATGGAAAGGGAGTAATGTTAGAAACTGATCTTACRGGGTAAATAGACACACAAGAAATTGTATCCACACATGCACAGAACAGAAAAAGAACACTGTTCCAGGTTAAGTTTGCATTGTAAATATTAGTAAAATCACGATGAGTGATCGAAAACCAATCCAGAATATTTTAATTTCTTATCCATCTCATCCTACACAATTATTACTTAAGAAACTAGAACTGAGTATCCTAAAATACAGAAATCTAGTCAAATCCAGAATATGAGGTGGCAACTGAGAGTATAAGAATATTCGGATGTCTTCAATCTTTCTTTTCGATAGTAGACATTTCCATCAAGAAGTTGTAAGATCAGAAACTTCGTAATGCCGCCGTCGAACTAAGCAGCAAATGTTCTTGCCACTAATAAACTATTCATATGTTACTTACTTAAACAAAACTAGCTTTGGTAATTTAGCGTGTATTTAGCGTGTGTATTATACGAATGTGTTATGTTGGTTTTCTCAATAAGAACAGAGTTCAATTTCTTTTTGTCCAAATTAATTTTATTAAAATAGCCATGAGAAAAGATAGTCTCCCGTAAGGTTTGCAGTTTTATTATGAAAGAATGTTAAAATAATTTTGGATCTTATTGACGATGTCAGGATGTCGGGAAGAAGATTTGTCTTCAGTAAGGTTTGCCATTTCATCATTGAAATATATGAATATACGATCCAAAGAGTCGAAATTATTAAAATTTACTTTCGAAATTCGGAGTCAGTGGCCTCAACTTCTTCCGTGATGATCAAGACCGGCACGTTACTGTGAATGGGAATCGCTGTCGCTCAAATCTAACCTATATTTAGACATGCACAGTCTGTGGTTCACGGCG